ATCCGTATCAAAATATATATATGAGTGAATGTTGAAAAGATAGGTTTTGTATAAGGGCCAGATTCTAATCTGATGTTAGCATTATATATGTATGTACATGGACATAACTAATGGACATAACTGCTATTCTGAAAAACAGGAGAGCAGAATCAGTTTTTGTAGACATGTAGACGGCAAACCAGAATGTGAGAATCTTTTGAGGTCAAAACTTTTATGGAAAGTTAAATGTAACGGTTGGGAAGATTTGTCCAGTGAAGTTAGTTGATGCAGGATTTGATAAGAAACACAGTTTCTTGCCCATATCAACTCCCCAGTAGGTTTGGTATTACTTGACCAACACCATGCCAGGGGCCTTTCCTGCAGTACACCGAGTTAGAGCTTCAAAATGCTCTCTGATACTTTCAATTTTACTAGCGTAGACATAGACTCTCTATATCCTGCCAAGATTAGCAGCTGTCTTCCCTTCTTCAGATCTCACTCACTTGCATGAGGACCCAAAGGCTACAGTGGACTTCTCTGGACGTGTACCATTGATAACAAGGAAAGCTCTTTAGGGTAGGGAATGGCTGCTGCAAGTCTGCAAAGGAGAGTCAGAATTCTGGGTCCAGGATCATTTCATTTAATTCCTAAGTCAGTCTTTGCTCCACAATTGTAAAGCATGCCCCTATAAACTGAGCAGAGTGTCTGCGACACATGCAGCTACTGTGATGTGAAAGGAAAAAGGAACCTGGTCAAAATTTGAAAACCACTACCGTTCCTGTAATAGCTTCCCTGTTACAAGATTTTTAAATCAACTTATATCTCAGTGCAAGGGTATGACTGAGGGAAGATAAGCTGTGCCTGAGGGAATTACTGCAGAGTGGGAGTAGAATTGATTTGTCTGACGACGACAAAAATCTCCTAGTAATAACCTCCATAGATTACAGTAACGTAGAAACACTTTCATATTGCAGCTGAGAAAAATAATTTACCTTTTCTTTTTGCCCCTTAAAAGGTCCCATTTGGCCTTTTTGTGATTTATTTCTTATGACCTGAAAAGTTAATGTTACAAAAAGGTATTTGTAACGGGTTTATGTGAAATTATGAGGTAAAAGATAACGTCGTCCAATCAGGGAAGAGGCTTGGAAACAGGCCCTTAAAAATCAAGAGTGCCCTGTGATGAATGTATTTGTTTGGATAACTGCTAAATTAATGCATATACTTACAAAACTAATTGCAAATGATCGGTGATTGCTGTTTCTACAAATGTGAGGATTTCTTAATGTCATCAAGCTAGATTATATAATCAATTCTTGGATAAACAGCTTTAGTATTTCTCACAATTATGGTCTTTAATAGTTTTTCCAAATTAATGTCATTTCATTTAGAACATTTAAAACTGATTACTGCTAATCTGGAACCAGTGATCAGCCTGTTGTCAACCAAGAAATTAAATGCTCCATTTTACAGAATGGTTGGGATTTTTTTTCATCTCATAGATTGTTTTTAATCTATACATTAGAAACAAAACATGACCATTTAGGGAGATACTTAATATACAATATATTTACATAATAAATATTACAATTATGTTAAAGAAAAGCTGAACATGTAAACACAGCAGTCTCTATTTCATAAGATGGGTTCCAGGTAATAAAAGGATATTATCTGTGAATGTGTTATGTAGAAATCACCTTATAAGGCAAGTGCAAAAATGCTTCATAATGAAAAAATCTCTGTATGCTAGTAACAGAGAAACGGTAACACCTCACTTTCATATAGCAAAGAACAGCACATTGGAGTCCAGTTGTGGAAAATTCCAACCTGTCACATTGAACAATTTTAAACTTGCTCTTGCCAAACCCTTAGGTTATACAACACAAACTGAAAAATACTGAAATAATTGTTATTCTTATTTTGTATTGTAAAATAGGTAGTAGCATACATGATTTATAGAATTTGACATTAGAAAGAATATTCTTTTTAAGTTATTTCTGTACTTTTATCAGCAAAAAAACAAGTAAATACTGAAATTTGTACCTTTCACACCAGTGTTCATTCACATCACATTTTAAAAAATCCCCTTAGAAACTAAAAAGACCAATGTTTGAGACTAACTCCACAAGAACCGATTGATTTGGGGGGGAAAAAAGAAATCAAAAAACATTGACAAATATTTTCAGCAACAAGATCCCCAGGCAGATCCAAGCAGAATTTAAATGATTTGTCAGTCCTTTTCACCAGGTCTTTTTCTTCTCCTGCTAAGCCCTTTCTACCCATCTGAGGACCAGCTCCTCAGGACCATCTCCTCTCAGATATCTGAAATGTGATTAGCCTGTACGGAGATAATAGCTAATGCTGACTATGTAACGAAATGGCTATTTGAGATGGCCCTAATGTGCAATCTGGATTCAGCTGTAATTCATGACTCTTGAGTTGTGGGATCCTACTTTGGATTATATATATATATATATAGATCGGTGTATGGTTGGATACACATCCATTTGTTTGGTCGTACAACTTTAGTTGTTTTTCTTCTGTCATTGCAGTTCCCTTATTCACTCATGCCACTACTTTTCAAGTAATATTTCATTTATTTTTCACTCACCTGATATATTTGTAGTAGAAATACTCACTGCCATTTTCTTATTCTCTCTTAAAGACGACAGTATTTTACTTAATATTGTAACTCATAAATTTGGAAAGGATCTCAGTCAAGAAATAAAATGAACCAGCTTTTGTATTAAATCAAAGACTTTGATGTAAAGGTTTAATTTCATTAAAAGAACTTTATTTGAGATTTATCATACACAGATATGATGGAAAAAATTAATAGACAAGATCAAGATCAGCTTAATTTTTTAAAATATTTTTAATATAGTAATGCTAAGAAGCACAGTTTAGGAGCAAGATCCACTGTATGGAGCTGTGCAAGAACTAAGTCATGATCTTCCAACCTCTTGAATGCTGTGGCTTTAATAACACCACTTGTAGCCTCCAAGTAGCGCAGTCTTTTTTTTTTCCAGCAAGTATTTTGCCCAATTTAGTGTACATGAAGCTGCAACAGTCAGCTGCAATGAATTTGGTATAGTTCTGTAACAATTCCCATATTAATTACTTTCATCCAAATGAGACTGATACAAGCTGGAAGGAAATCCCTTCAAAATACACTATACCTCGATCATTATAAAGGTAATTTTCTTAGGAGAATGGGGATCTGGACTAAAATACCTGCCCTGACCAAGAAAGAGAGGAGGTTTCTTGTACTCCATCTGGGTATCTGAATCCCAAACTGGAGATTTTAAAGGGAAGCATCTCCAGTTCTTTCATTTTCTGAGTGTTTTTTACAGCTCCAGACCAAAAGGAAATTTATTTCGTCATTACCCAATGAAACCCATACCACTCTCAACAGTTATAGTTTAATCTAAGATAATTCTTTTTGTTGGTAGAGACACTGAAAAACTATCCTTTAGCAGTATTTACAACATAAGTTTCCTTTGTAAGGACAGAAGCAATTCACAAATCTGAAAAGCTTATAAACTTAGAAAATGAAACAAATGTAAACAGAGGAGTCACTGATTTGTAAATTGTTATATCAGTGAATAAATATTAATTTTGTCATCTGCATTCCAAGAATTGTTAGCTTATTCCCTGCTACCAGTTATTTTAGCTGATAGGGGTCTAGAAAAAGCATAGATGAAAAGAACAAGAGTAATTAATATCCCTGGCATTTAAGATGGCAAGAGAGAAAGCCTGAAGCTGTTTCAGAAGTGAAAAAAATATGAGCAAAGCTTTTATGGGTAGAACAGAGATACAAGTACTGATATTTTAAATGCACGTTTTATATATAAATGCGATTTGGAGATTTGTTTATGTATACAGGATTGTTACTTTTTTGTCCTGTATATTGTACGCTATAGTAGGTAACTGTTCAATCTTATTAATGCTATCCTTCTTCACTTCTTCATTTCTGAAATTGTTCTCAGTTGTCTGTGATAAATACTATGTTTTCTCATGTACACAGTGTGCCTCCAAGCACAATTTATTTTCCTGGGCAATGGGTTGATAAACAGCTATAAAACTGTTCCCATTTCATTCCTTTGGCAAAGGAAAATAGAAAAAGAAAATCTAACAAGCACTCCCACGGCTTTTTGGAATGTGTTAAAATACCTGCTTTCCTCTGGGAACAGCCCCTTTTACTGACTCTGTGTAAAGCTAAAGGAGGATGTTGACAGCATCTTTGCAGTTTTAAAAGCCTGTGAATGGGCTGCAGGGTCCTTCTGATCTCCTAGAAAGAATCCAAAAGGGGTGGCTAAATATCAAGATTGCAGGACCTAGGAATTTACCTGTTCTTTTGAGATGTGTTTCACAAACCGTGGCTATGAACATGGGTTGAACAAGAAGAACACATAGAGTTCTTTTGAATTGAGGTATTTCTGGTATAGACAAAGTATTACAAGAAGAACAGGATAAACCGGACAAACAACAGATAACATTACAGCAATTAACAACAAGTGTAGATTCAAGGAGGGTTTTTTATCTGCTTAGGAAGTAAAGCAGCTGATAAGATGAAATGTGGTTGTATATTAAAATGGACAGCTCTTTGAAGAGAAAGAAATGGGGCCATAGGACTATGTTCATGCATATTAAAACAAAGTGCCACCTTCACACACTTGATAAGTCTGCATGCTCAGCTTTTTCTAATCCTTCCTGCTTTGGAGTGTAAAATAAAATTGACCTTTAACCTCCCTGTAATTAGGTTAACACCCAAGTTTAAGAAAACAATCATGTATTAAAAATAGTCAATTTTATTTCTTGTCACTGTGCTAAGTACTATCTGACAGAATCTCTGATACTTTATCTAGTAATTAATTTAGAAGGAATATCTCTTCTCATGCACAGAGGATGCATTACCAGGCTGTTCCTTCAGAGCCTGTAATCTAAATGCCTACTGTATAGGTACAAAAGTATTTTTTCCTTCAGCTGCTTGCTGGCTCAGTCACTTGTCTCTTTTCTTGCAGAATGATTCCTGGGGAAAGCAGTACTCCTATGCGCTCTTCAAAGCCATGAGCCATATGCTCTGCATTGGTTATGGAGCCCGTGCCCCTGTCAGCATGTCCGATCTCTGGATAACCATGTTGAGTATGATTGTGGGGGCTACTTGTTATGCAATGTTTGTTGGTCACGCAACTGCCCTAATTCAATCTCTGGATTCTTCACGACGACAATATCAAGAGAAGGTAATTCATTTTAATGCAACTTTTTAAAGTTTTAAAATAGATTAATGAGATGTTTTAAATGTGGAAAAAGCTTTACAATTTTGCATGAAATAATCTAGAAGCATCTGAATCCTGCGGCAAATTTCACTGAACATGAAATAACTCAGAGAACACCATGGGCTAAATGTATTCCTACATGAACCTCGATTACTTAGGGAGCAGACAGTTCCGTGTGTCGCATGCACTGAATGAAATTTTGAATGTGAAATTTGCTTTAAGTTCTGTAAAACATGATGTAAAAACTCCATCTCCTGGTCCAGACTGTGCTTTACTCTGTAGGAACTTGAACTAGGTAGCTTGAATGAGGAACTTGAAATAGGTACCGTGGGTTTGTCTGTAGAGGTTACTGTCATTCCTTTGGACTGCAATATAGGAATAAACTTGAACTTGTCATAAGAATGGCCTTTAAATGAGGACCAGGCCCAATCAATTAGTGTTGCCTGGAACTACCTTAGAGAAGTGCTTAAAAGAAGTCTTTATTTACCTTATCAGAAAAGTGTTTACGCTATTATCCATGATGTGCTAGGTTCTCTGCAAGGACTGAAGAACACTAGCCTAAAAAGGAAAAGCAAAAGCAGCCAAAAGATAGAAAAGTAGAGACAGTTTAGGGGAAGAAAGAAATAGAGAGTTCTTTAAGAAAGAGAAAGAAAATTTGAGTTTGTTAGATTCCTTGTAGGCATGAGTGGAAATGAAAAGACATAAATGGGTACAGGGTGGGAACTTTCTGGAAGGAGCACAAAGATGCACGAATTAACATTGTCAATTCTCTGAACAAAGGCAGTGGCAAGTGTGGATGAATTTATGAAACCAGGTGCTGATGGTCAGAATGGTGGTATGAGGAAGAAGGGATGAGGATGGAACTCAGCAAAGGACAATAAGGATGTGCAGAGTTACTGAGGTGCTTAAAAGAAGCCAAAACTGGATGTTATAGTAAATGGGGAACTGGAGAGGACATGCCAGGAGAGAGGTCAGCTGAGCAAACTAGTCAAATCAGAGAGTTCAAAGGAGAGTTCAAATCAGCAAGTAAGAAACATGGCCTGAGCAACAGTATTTGGCATGCATCAAAAAGGGAATCCAGAAAGGCAAACTGGGCAGAAATCTCAGTGTGATGTAACACAAACCTGGCAGGAGTTATGTAGAGGAGAAGGTGACCCTTGCATGTGCTGAAGATGAAGAGGAATGGCCTGAGTTTGATGGGCAAGAAAAGATGCGAAATCCAAAAAGACCTGAGAGTAGAAAGGATTGTGATGTTTTCTTCGCAGGCAGGCAAAGGGAAGAGCAGATAAGAGCGTATCAGAGAAAAGTTTACATTCAGTTTTGTTAAGCTGAAGTCGCAGTAGGACAACTGGAGGCAGTAGCTCAGAGACAGGGAGAGATAAGGGATGTGATAGAAGGCCAGTAACAGAAAAATTAGCTAGTAGTTAACACATTAATCTCACGGTTGTTTAAAACCGAAGATTGCAAACACAGAGTTATCTTGAACGATAAGTGAAGATGAGAGGTTTAGAAAGAGAGGCTGAGTGAGCATCAGAGCCTTGAGAAATCTGAGTTCTGTCAGTGGCCATGTGAAAGCTCCATTTCAATGTACAATCCAGGGGCTAATCCTGCTACGTGATTTAATCGAACTGACTTGTTGGGACTACTCACATGGTCTCTTCTGCCATCTCAGAGGGAAGCAATTTTACCGGAACGGGACATTTGTAAGGAGCTGTGGGATAGAAACAATTTAACCATAATGGAAAACGTAAAGAAGGAAACCTTAGACCTAGTATAACAGCTGTTTCGTTAGAGGTTAGGATCGACATATGTACACAAACATACACAGACATATGAAATCAGCATCAGCCTGAAAGCTTATCGTATTTGTTATCCTCAGACCTTCATTGTAATATCACAATGTTCTTTCCTAAAAAATCTGCCTGGTTACTGGCATGGTTACCTAAAAAATTCGAAGGGTATTGCTGTTTTAAACATTTTATGTAGTTCAAGAGGGAATCTAAGAAAAAGAAATCCATAAACAAGGAGAAGTCTATTATTTGTATAAATATTTTATTTGAATTTTTAACTCATAAGCACATTTATATCTGAAAACTAATGATATAGAACTCATTATTCTCAAAAATATTCATTTGTTCATATGGTAAGTTTGTAGATACATACATTTTTGAGTTTCAGAAATATTTTAAATGTATAAAAATATGCATATATTTAAAATTGTGTTAAGTAAAGTCAGTTTCATTTAGGGGTTATTGTGTAAATTAAAATCCAGGGAGCAGTCACGTGCTGTTGCACTTCTCATATTTTCATATAACAGCAAACAAAGCATTATATTTTGTTTTATTCTGTTTTTTTGCATACATTTTATTAAACATAGCGTGGAAATGTCTGGCATTTTTCACTTCCTGCAGTTTTGAACATTTGCATTCTCTTTGTTTTCATTTCTTATTTCCCATTGGTTTCCTGACATCGTAGTCCTAAGCCTAACATGGCATCCACAGTCGAGAATTAAAGAAATGAGCAAGAAGTTGTATGTTTCTATTTTATAGAAAAAAATTTCTCTGTCACTTTGGCCATCTTTTGCATGGCAATTATTATGTCCTAGGGCTAAAGCATATTGTAATTAAAGAAAATTTTCTACTGATTTCTGAGGCCCTGAAATCATTTGTATAGTATCAGTCATAACTACTATACTGACATATTTGCATGTTCTTACCCATTAATTTATCAGAATTTAATCAGATATTTTGAAATAAATCTATGAATATAGTCTAAAAATTATGAAACCATTACTATAAACTGCCGAAGAATATTGTCTATACATCTGATACTGTTTCTTTATTTTGAAAATTAGACAAATGGTTGTTTCAAAGACCATTTTGTGCTACTCGTTTTGTCAGCATATTTTCTAAGTTACTGGCAGATAAAAGTAGCTTAGATTTCACTTAACAGAAACTTGAGAAAAAGGTAAATCGAATCTTCAACCACAGGTTTCAGATTTTTTAATATAAACACAAAAATGTATTTTTACTTAGTGCATTACTTTCTCTTCTCCTGGAATTCAAAATTGGATAAATCAGGAGGGAGTGACTACTTAGATTTCTTGGGCTTAAATGCTAGTATCTTTTTTTTTTTTTGCTGTTATTCTTAAATATGTAACACTGATTCTTAAATATGTAACACTGTGTATTTCATGGTTCCATGTTTCTGTAATAAGAGATACTGAAAATAATGGAATTAGCATGAATTGCTAGAGAATGTAGAATGACACCAGAGATGAAGAGGGAAGATGTTCTAAAATTCTCCTCTGGGTCAGATCATGCTAAAATCTTATTCTCCTTTTTTTTTTTTCCAACTGATTCTTCTGCTGTAGCTAAGATGACATTTCATAAATGTGTCTGTAATACCCAACTATGAAAGGATAGTTCTGGTGCTTCTTAAAATGAAAGTAGCTTAAAGTAACATATTTGCTGAAAACCCCACATCTGCTGTAATACCCCACATCTGTTCAGATCCTTCCAAAGCTCAGGCTATGCAAAACTAGAAAAAGCATTACAATTCAAAATGGAAGAACACAGGAAGGCAAGAAAGAGTTTTTGTTAAGCCAGATATGCCAAACACCGTCCAAGAGCACCAACTAAGAATTTTACCTGTGCCAAGCATTGCATACTGAGAGAAATCAAAGTATGGTTAAGAAAGCAAATATTACTCCACTGGGTTTACTGTTATGGGCCAAAGATATAATTTATAAGAGGAAATTAACAGTTATTATTAGCTGCCAAATGCAGAGGGGGGACAGTAAAATCACATATCAAGAACTGCTGTAAAAAAGGACAGATTGCTACATTCTGCTCACTTTGAGGAGCACTTCACAGATTTTTCCACTGAAGTGAATGGAAATATTCTTGGAGAAAAATATCTCTCAGAGTGAATAAGTATGTCAGAACGTGGTCTCAGTGAGTGAAGTGCCAGTGCCTGACAGAGGAGAAAGACATGTCCAAGTCAGGTATATTCAATCCACATTCCCTTTTCGGTAAGAAAATCTGATAGACCATTCTACCTTAAAAAAGGACAGAAGAAATCAATGGCATCCTAGCATTCTCCCTCCGCAGTCTTTGGTATAAACTAGAGATGGATGCAATAGTAAATAGAAGTCATATTTCAATAATAACTGTTTTAACATTTTCTAATATCCAGGAAGTAACAAAGCATCTCAAAAAAATGTTTGTCTCTATTAAGGTAACATTTGAAAAAAAACTGAAATGCATATGCAGAATTTGTTAACCAAGTACTGTAAAAGAAAGCAGCCAAATAAACAGTCACTTGACACCATTGAAGTCACTTGAAGACCATTAGTAAAATACCTCTTCATTTGAATGTTTATAGTTTTTAATAGGAAAATAGTCACCTAATGCTTTGGATACTATTGAATAAGCTTAACAAAGATTGGTTAAAATTTCCTTTGTTCCAGTCTGTTGTAGTAGTACAAAACATCCAGGAACTAAGTCACAAACAAGCTAATAGAGTTGTAGTAGCATACAGATTGTGTCATATCCAAAGAGATTTTACAATTGTCTTGATAAAATGATAGCTATTAAATGCATTTTCATTAGGCTATCATTTTATATATTTTGACTTTTCTTTATTGGTAAGCAAGTCTAACAACCACACAAGGTTTCAAAAACAGAAGAAACACATAAAGCAGTTTTACCAGTTGCAAGTAGTAAACAGGCACAAAATTCATCCATCTGCATTTCATGAGAAATGGAAAAAATAGGAGATGCTGTCCTACTCTTGGGAAGATGCGTTAAGTCATTATTAAACATGAGGAAGTGTTCTGGACTTGACATCAACTTTAAATATCCCAAAAGACATCTCTTTCTAACCCTAAACTATGCTTTTAGCTTATCTCTTAATTTATAGTCTTTTAGCACATCTTCTGTTAAGTCAGTCACTAGACTCAA